ATTTTTACCGTATTGAGTTTTTTTCTTTAAATTGCTAAACCTTTCTGACTCATTTAAAAATGTATTTTTCTCTAGCTCTCAAGGCTTCCATTGTATTAGGTTAGTTGTCTTTGTGCCCAAGAAGTGTTTCTTATAGGAAATAAATTTTTGCGATAGGGCAGTTTCTCCTGCAGGCTGAAGAAGGCATCGGGGGTGTAGGTGTGTTTATGGTGTCGCCTCATGCCTTTGCTGCTTCATTTCAGTCCCAAGACTGTCCTGTTAGCACAAAAAATAGTGCTCCATCTTCCTCCGCCCCCGCGTGGCAAAGAATTGCACCTCTGAGCCCCTCTCCCAGAACAGTCTTTTTTGAGGTTTTTAAAAGAATCAAGTATTTCTTTAAAAATGATATAAGAATCTTGGAATTTAATTATTATCATCCTCAGAGTTTTAATGGATTGATTGCAATTAAGTTTTTATAATAACATATGTCGAGACCCCTGAAGGCATTGGAGCGCTGATGAATAGCTTAGCTTATTTGGGGGTTTTAGATTAAATGCCAGATGCACTGACTGGTGAAGAATTAAAGAACTGTGAAAAGCCTACAATTTGTCTCTTAGAGGAAAATCACATTACTATTGGTCTACGGGCCATACATCCTAGTTTAATCTGTGAATCTGGTCAGAACAGATTCTTTGTATTTTTTTGTAAAGAAGCTGCCCATCAAGTCTATTCTTTATATTTTATTGCATGTGTAAAAACTTTTATATTTAATTGTATTTTAAAGATTGAAGTGATGAATATTCATTTTCACTTAACAATATTGCTGACTGAAGTACATTTAAGACAACAGGTAATTTCTTTAAATTGACTTAGTTTCCTATTAAGATGGTTATTTGCAGGTAAAAACACTTTGAAAACCTTAGTGACATCAATATCAAAAAGAGTAGCAGGAAGCACTTTTGTTGCTTAAAAACATGTGTCTCCTAACCTGTCACACCACTCTGAGATCATGCCACAAGGATTAACAAAATCCAGTCCTTGCAACTGTTGATGATTTAAAGGGAATAATATTATATTGATCTTCAGGATTATATATATTCTATTTAAATCAATTTCATTTATTTGTAATTTAAAATAGAATGGTGGAATCCATAATATGCAATATATCTTTGAATTTTTTTGAGATTTCCAATTATGTTATTTATATTTTGGTGTACTTATTTTGCATATTTAGTTCCAAGTTTTAATTTTCACTTTTGGAATAAAAAGCAAAATATTAATATTGATATAAAAAGCATCATCTTAAAGCATTCTTAAATTCCTTTAAAAACCTACTTGCAACCTAATTTTATATCTGCAGCACTTCTAGCAGTGTTACTTGTCATTACTTATAATACCAAACTAATTCTTCCAAAGCTTACGTCTTCCAACTACCTAAAGGTACGTGTTTACTAAATGATGTGGGGAACTAGTAATCAAGTGACATGTTCCAGGACGTTATAAAGTCATAGCTTTTCCAACAGATATTTTTTTAGTTCAAAATCATTTCTATGCAGCAGTAGCTAAATTCTTATCTTTTCTACTTACTGTGACATGCTCCAGAGTTATTAGAGTGATGTGTGACCATGAACCAACTCCATTTGGGGGGTGGGGGGGGGAGAAAAAGCATTATTGACTCAAACATAGAAAAAGGAGTTGAGAGAACTGTTACCCTGAGCCTCCCTCCGCAGTAAAACCACTTCTCAGCTTCTCCCTGGGTGTCGATATTTGTATGTGTGTGTAATATGTGTGTGTGCACAAAATTCATCCTTTATTTTAAGAGCAAACATTTTCATTAAGTATGTATGCTGATAAGTGTGTGGCTGTCACTGACAGAATTGTTTGCCAAAGCAGTGATAACACGTGGCATGGAACCAAGTGATTAATTTCTTTTGGCTCGAATCACTAGTTTAGTAATGCAAAGTGGATACTCATCCTCAAAAACACATCATCAGTAAATATTTTGGGATTTATCTCTTTTTAGACTTGGACTATTCCACTAAAATGGATGGATTATTTCCAGTAAACACAAAATTGAAAACCTTTTAAAAAGTCTTGTAGTCTTAATCTTTTAAAGCAAATTAAGTCCTTTAAAAGGATGTCTTAGTTTGTTCCAATTGTCAGTAATGTAGTACTTCAAATTTATCATTCTGCTTCACCTTATTTTTTTCAAAATGATACTTAGTCTATCAAATTAGATAACTTTAGTTTGATTTATAATGCTATGTTGAAAATGTGTGCAAGTCAAATTTTACAAGCATTTTAAACCACTTTACTTAGCAATTAACCATTTATGATATGTAGCAAAGATGCCAACCTTGTAAGTTATACCTTTTATCTAGGATAGAATGAAATGAATACATGTATACGTTATAATTATTTGACTTTAAAACCACATAAAGTGTATGGCCGTTAGCTTTGTTTCAGTATCCTTCAGTCTTTCAGCAAACATTTATCCATTTCAGGCACTTTTCTAGCTGCTGAAGATGCACTCAAGAAAGTGTCCCTTCTGTCAGCGGGCTCATAAACTGATGAAGGCAGAAAAGGTGGTGGCAGTGGGGAAAGTGGACTTGATTATTTAACAGTTAATCTCTGCCTACAATATAGGCGCTTCATAGTATTTTAATTAACTCTCACAAAACCCCGTCAGGCGTTTATTATTATTCCCATTGTACCGAGGGGAGACAGTCTCAGAGATGGCAAGATCATAAAGCTCACACATCGGTGGCCGAGTTGTGACGCGGGGCTCGCATCCCCCAGACTCCACGTTCGTTTTCATGTGTACTGCTGGGAACTTCTTGCGTGCCCGCATTGTGAGGATATAAAAGTGGGTGATGTGTGCTGTCTGCCCTCAAGGAGTTCCGGCTCTTATGAGAGCAACTCATACTCTTAAAAAAAAGCCACGACTGCCTCCTGTTGGGCTATGTCTAGTTGAACCCGTCTTACCACCTTTGGGGTCAAAGCCAGTCTGTGTTAGTAATAAGGGAGCTAAACCACATTTTGAACAGGAATGGGTTGATTCGTTTGCCATCCATCCTTCCTTAATTTTGGTCTGTAAGAGATTTCTGCTTCCAAGTCTTAAAACTGATGTAACTTCCTGCTAATTATCTTACATGGCTGCCCTGTACACCCCGACAGTCCGTTTTGTCTGTTAACCATTTAAGTAGGAGACTAGGGCAGAGTGAGAGTTATTTTTTAAAGTTAAGCTACTTTATTTTAATTCAGCTAAATTTTAAATTTCCAGGCTGAAAAAATGGTGACCAGGATTAATTAGTTCCGGGATGGAAATGAACATTTTGTGTTAACCCCCACATCTTCTCGTCCACCCTTCACACATCTTTTAAGGCTTTTCTATGCTCCCCTCTGTCTCTTATGCAAGGGGGCTTAGAGAAACGTCACATTCATTATGAACGTGTATAATTTTTCATGGTCCAAGAGACACACATTTCCGGTGCCACAGATGGACAAAATAAAAAGTAACCGAATGCCAGTAGCCTGTGTGTATGTAGGCCACATCGTTGGCTGACACCTTGGGATATTTCCCCCAGTGCAGCACCAGCGCCCCCAGGATTCTGCGAGGCTGTGTGTGTAGGAATGGGGTGGCATGGGGCCCCAGGTGATGGGACGTACTCTCCAGGGGCTCCGCATTTTGAAAGATCTGCAGGTGCTTTTGAGAACATCTGTGTCCCACTCCAATCTCTTCTTTCTGAATGCTGAAACATATTGTTTAAAATAGCCTTAGACAGCTTTGTCCCTATGTGTTTCCCTGAACTGTCCTTGCATCCATAACCACAGCTCTGATGTGAACACCTATGCTGGGACTCGTGGAAGCTGTGCTGATTGCACTGTTAAATGGTTAGAATTATCTAGTGCTCCTTCATACTTCAGGACATAACAGTTTAGATGAGGGATCTTCTGTTTTACTGGATGAAGTTCATCTCAAATACAGTAATGCCTGACGTCCCTCAGATGCCTGCTGTGTCAGAGGCTGTGCTAGGCACATACCGAGGTTAATTTAATTTAAGGATGGCAGCAGTGCCGTGGGGCAGACACTGACAGCACGGAGGCCTGGTGGGGAGGGCACAGCCTCGGGCAGAGGCCGGTAAGGCCGCCGTCCAGGGCCTGTGGTCTTCACTTCCTGTTCTCTGTTAATGATGTTAGTCTGTGCTGTGTACACTTGTGATTTAAGTAATTAGCTACTGTTTCCTGAGCACCTGCTATTTCCATTGTTGGAGAATTTTCTTGCATGTGCACGTGTGTGTGTACACTTGTATGTGTGTGATTTATACTTGTATGAGTGGCTGCTATTAATATTTTTGATATAAGTAAAAATGTAACCTTAAGAAGTTAACGGAAATGAACACATTTGATACTTTTTCATTTCAGTTCATCGATGGTCGGCTGGCAAAACTAAATGCAGGAAGGGGCTTCTCTGATGTCTTTGAAGAGGAGATCACTTCAGGTGGCTTTTGTGGAGGTAAAGACTGGATCCAGGCGGATTATCGATTTTCCGAAGAACAATTCCTGTGATTTTTGCACTTGTGTCTCATAGAAGCTACTATCTTCAACAACTATTTTCTCCTAAACATACGGTGTCTTAGGTACATGCTCTCATGCTATAACAGCTGTGGTATGAGCTTGTTTTCCTGATATCTGTTACTCAAGGCTTTAGATGGTCGCTTGGATTGGCAGGTGTTTGCCTGGATAGATAATTCCTTCCTCTTCCTGGACGTCAATATTACAGCATTGCAGTTCGTTTCTGTCTCCCTGCCTTTCCCCCTGGCCAGTATTCTCAGGTAGAAAATGACTAGTGATGGCGTTTACTGAGCAAGAATGAAAGGGCTGCGATTATAGTTGGAACAGTAGATGGTCATATAATCCGTTGTTTCAGAAAGGAAGGCCTGAGCCCGCAGCTGCTGCTACATCGTTAGGAAGCATGTTGTTAGAGAAGCCTTTACCTCTTCCGTCTTGCAGACCCCAGTGGCGCCAGGGAGAGACTTTTCCACTTTACCGTCCCACGTGCTTGTCTGTCATCGTGAAAGCGCTCCCTTAAAGCAACGGAAAGAGGCATATTTCGTGTGCATGAAGCACCCCTTAGGTGATACCCCACTTTTATTTAACGTAATTCACTTTACTCAAACAGCTCCATTGTTTCAAATGTAAATATTCAAACCATGTTATAATTATCTGGGCTGTTAATGAATTATGAATGGATGCTTTGTATGATCGCCCCGTATATAGTCCTGCCTCAGGCAAAGAACTTCCTTGTGCCTCGTTCCTTCCTTCATTCCTTCATTCAGCCAGTAGTTGCTGGGTGTTTATTATGTACAAGGCACAGTTCTAGATATGGAGTGATCTAAAGAAATGAAAACCTAGGGCCGGCCGAGCGGCTCAGTTGGCCGAGTTAGCTTAAGAGCACGAGCTCTGAGCAACAGGGTCGCCAGTTCGATTCCCACATGGGCCAGTGACGCTGCACCCGAGCTGAGCTGCCGCTGAGCTGCCAACAGGTGGCAGGATGGCTCAGCTGGTGAGAGCATGTGCTCCTAACAACAAGATTGCCTGTTCGATGGTGGGCTACGCCCACCCACGGCTGGGACTGAATTCAGCACCTTGAGCTGAGCTGCCGCCCAGATGGCTCAGCAGACAGAGCGAGTGTGCTTAACAGCAAAGTTGACGGTTCAACTCCCGCATGAAATTTAAAAAAAAAATCTGGTGTGTTCTTTTCACGTGGTATAATAGTAATTTTTCCACTTATCTGTAGGTTTAATTTGAGAAAAAAATTATTTAGTTTCTGTGTGAATAAACAGTTGCTAGAACTGAGAAATAAAATGTGAAAGGACGGATAGTCATAAGTACTCATCTCCTGATTGCCCCATGTTTAATTTTATGCGTAAGTAAGATTTATTTTTGCAGAATAAAAATTTAAAAACCATTGAGGTACTTTGTTCACCAAAAGAGCTTTGTAGACCTTCATCCGATGTAAGTATAGCATTTCATTGAAAGCATTTAGCTTTGGGAAAACCTTAGCTTGCTTGACTCAGCAAGTAAGCTGAATGTGGAATCACTCAGTGCCTGTCTTTCCTCAGCTCATAGTCCAAAATTTAGCTTCAATGGAACTTTTGTGTTAAAATAAGGCTTTTTTTACTTTTCACCTCAGACAAGCAAAATATTGTCAGCTCATAGACAAATTGCTTGAGGCATCTACTCAGTATTTACATAACTGCTATCTCATTATCTTTATGACCCGTGGGGCTAATATCTTCTATGGAATTGAAGATGACATCTTGTGACAGTGATGGGGTAGAACTGTGATCATTTTGTATAGTTAATTCTGTGCTGTTAACCATTGGCTAAGTAAGACTCATTAACCACGGGCCCAGATTCCTCTGTCACAGACTGGAGAGTAGGTGGCTTTTCTGGTGGGGGTTGGGGGGGCTCTTAAAAAAATTTCACTATCGGTCTTATTGTTTAAAAAAGGATAGGAGAATATTGATCACCAGTTGGCCTGTGACTTAGAGGCTGTTGCATTTCAGTAAAACTCAGTGCCAGCCACTTTGCTGTTCTTTCTAAAAATGAGAAAGGTTTTGAATTCTTAATTTCGGGGAGCCAGTGCTGATCCAAAAGGCAGGCATAGCTCAACAAGTATTCATTTCAGTAGGTCCAATAAGAAAGTACGTTAAAAAAATTACACCTGGCTGTCAGTGTTCTTTTTTAATTATTATATTTTAGGTTGTTATCCTAGAGATATACAGAGTTTATTCTTAGCAGGAAATAAAGCAAAATTCATTTAGGGTTTGAAACCAAAAGATGAATAATCTAATAAAAATTAATAATGTTCTTGTAATGAGGATATATATATATATATATATATATATATATAGTTCCAAAATAGTTCCTAGAGGTTAGCTCCTAGCACTTGTCATCTCTCTACTACATTTAGGAGAAAGAAGAATATGTCTATGTCATGATATCGAACTGTTTGTTCTTCAGAGAAGCAAACTGTTATGACTTTGTCATTTCTTTCATAGCTATGGTAATAATTACAATAAGTGTTCATAGTTATTGAATATTAACGTGTGGCAGAAGCTCTTATAAGAGCTCTGCGGATATCTCACTTAACCCTGAGTTCCCTAAGAGGCACTTGGATCACCCTCATTTTTATGAGGGTGTCCATCTCAGTCATTCAGTCAAGGTCACAAGCTATTCATGACAGAGTCTGAACTAGCTTCAGAGCTCTCGCTTTAATAACTATAATATATTGCTTTCTAACGATAAGAGAGCTTCTTAATTAGGAGACATTCAGTAAACAAGAGCAGTGCCCATGCCTTCCCTGCTGTGATTGGGTAAAAGCAAAATTCCCGTCTCTTCTGAATATCTCGAAGATTTTTTTTTTTTTTTTTACACATTCAGCCCTCAGGAAGATCACTGTAGGAGAAATCAACATTCACTGAAGCGAAAGAAAAAATGATGTTCCTTGAAGCTAAAATAGTTAGGAAATTTCAGAAAAGCATCTTGTCTCTCCCCTGTCTGTATCATGGCAGTGACGGCATGTTGGCCACTGTATTTGTTGCTAATATGCACGGTTGTGATAAAATGAATGTGGGTATGGCGGAGCTTTATAATTATTGTGGCGCTGATTAAAAATGTACCGTGCAGGACAGTCATCCACAGAAGATGAAAATTCACATTGAACCTGGAACTCTGGTCGGCGACTCTGTGAGTGCAGGTTTTCGAAAGCTGTTTTCTGCCCTTCGGGTCCCATGGTCAGGAGTTAAAGAAACCCATGCCACTCCTGATTCCTTTCATGAGACCCTTGTAGAAGGTTCGTCCTGATCAGGAGATGCGGAAAGAAAGGGGAGAGTCCCCATAGAGGCGAAAAGGAAATAGAAGAGGACAGAGTAGAACAAAGGCTGCAATTAGATGAACACAAGCACTGGTCTCTGTAAAAGCAGCTAAGGAATATGGAGTAAGAACATTTCTGTGTATTCTTTTCATTTAAAATAAAAGTAGTTCTTAAATCCACTTCCAATTATCTAAGCTTTAATAAGGAGAAACGTTTTCAGGTTGATGTGTAGAGTGTGTGGACTCTCCACGAACAGCATTTGTGTCTTTGTTAGTTTTCTGTAGAACTCATCACTGATAGTTACGTAATTCCATTTCTTTTTTTTTTAATGACTAAGGTAGCAAAAGAATCTGAAGGGGTGGTAGGTAATCATTAGTTTTAGTGCCATTTCTGGCCTCACTGAACAATTTAGAAAATTTACATTTTTTTGTGATAAGTCACTACAAATTACTGGAATTTAAACAAATACGTTCGAAGGGAAAGTCTTCGTGCAAGTGAGAGAGATATTTTGTCCTTGAATGTGAGAAAAGCACTTGTGTGATTAACAAGAACAATGTTAAGAATTTCCTCTATAATGCTTATTATTCCCATAACCCAGTACTTTAATAGAAGGATGCGGGGATTTTTTTGGCATTCAGATTCACTTTTAAGAAGAAAAACAGCCTTAATAAAAATTTTTTTTCAAACAATAATATGCTTGTCTCATAAATTTTGTGGAAATAGGAGCCTTCAATCTTAAAAGCACTAAATTAAAGAGACAAGGATCCTGAAACTTTTTTTAACAGGAATCTGCCTAAATTGTACCACATGTTTTCCTGCCATCTGAAGCAGTTTCTCTGGGGACTTCCTGTTTGCCCCGTGCTACAAAATCCCAGATTCTTATTGGTGATTCTCACTCTCAACTGTTTCTTCTCAAGGTATCAGCTTTGAGCGGCTCCTTTTCCTCTTAAACGTGATTGCTTTGAAGTGATACAGAGGCACTGTCTATAATTTCAGTTTTAACGTATTTTATCGAGCAGTCTTTTATTCAGGTGGCGTTTCAGAGTGGAAGGACTAATGGACCAGGGACTCAAATACCTAGATTTGGTATCTTTGGGAACTTGGGCAAATAAGGCATCCACTAAGAACCTCAGTTTCCTCATCTGGCAGGTTCTGCGTAATAACAGCCAACACTGATGGTGTGTGTGTGATATGCAGCCAGCTGGGAGACTTGGTCCCACATCACGTGGGACACAGGGGGCCTGAGCTCTCAGACACCCTGGACCCCAGAGCCTCTTCCTTCTCACTGCCTTGCCGCCATGACACTGCATGCTTTCACGCGTTCAGACTAGAAAAACAGCTCAAATATCGTGATGTAGGTAAAAACGTTTTGTGAGCTGTGAAGAGCTGGAGATGAGCTACATGTAATGCTGTATGTCAGCTATACCTCAATAAAATAAGAGACAACAGACTGTTTTAGGGATTCTTTGTACTGGACAGTCTCAGAGTAGCCATTGGGACTTGGAGTTTTTAAGCATTTAAACCAAGAAGGTTGATGAAATCTAACTAGAGTCACTTGGTAGAAAACATTACTTTAGACTAGTTGTGGCTTTACTTATTTATTTTGCCTTCTAATATCATCTTGTTGACTAACTTATCCTATTTGGAGCTGAATATGTAATTGCTAGTTTTATTAGAACTAATTTTTTCAGCATTTGAGCTTTCTGATAACCATGATGCTCTGTAGCCTGAGAGCTGCTTTTGCTTCACATTTCCATGGGTGATAGCTTTAAAATTTGGATTTCCAACTAGAGAATGTTTTCAGACTATAACTGCAGTTTAATTGCACTGAAATAATATTTGTTATCAATTAATGTTAATATTTAATAACCATAGAATAATCTTCTTTTGGTCCTCAAGGTTCTTTGCAGTTTTAAATTCCCTTCTAGTTTTTTTTTCCTATTCACTTGAAATATTATTTTAAAAAGAACCTAATTGCATATGAGAGGCAAAACCTTTACAAAATAGACATAAAACATTGAAAAATCAATTTAAAAGACATGGGAATTTTGACTTTCAAAAGAGTGGTTATTATGTTTTCCCCTCTGAAGATAATATTAAAATGAAAGACGATAGATTACTATAACATATGAGCTTCACATATGAGAAAAGAAAAAGCATCTATTTTTAAAAATGGTAATTACTGTGTTCCTAAGAATTAGAGCAATTTCTTAGTTTTTACGATAACATGCCTCTTTCACATTACAGATAAATAAAATGTGTTTACCAGAATCCTGGAAATACTAGTTCTTGATGAATTTAGGTTTATAGATTTATTTTTTTTTCTTTTTTTAAATTTATTGAGGTGCTATTGGTTAATAAAATTATATAGGTTTCAAGTGTACAATTCTCTAATATGTCAACTATATATTACACTGTGTGTTCACGATCCAAAGTCACATCTCTTTTTGTCACCATATATTTGACCCCGTTTGCCTTTTCTGCTCCCCTCCGTCCCCTTTTCCTCTGGTTACCACTAAATTGTTATTCATGATTTTTGTTTGTTTGCCTTGTTCATTTGTTGTTTTCAGTTTTATATCCCACATATGAGTGAAAGCACATGGTTCTCGACTTTTTCTGTCTGACTTATTTTGCTCGAGCATGGAAATTTCAAGATCCATCCATGTTGTTGCAAATGGCACAATTTCATCTTTTCTTATGGCTGAATAGTATTCCATTGTGTATATGTATCACATCTTCTTTATCCAATTATCTATCGAAGGACACTTTGGTTGTTTCCATGTCTTGGCCACTGTGAATAATGCTTCAGTGAACATAGGGGCACATATATCTTTATGGTAAATGTTTTCGGATTTTTAGGGTAGATCCCAGGAGAGGAATTGCTGGGTCATATGGTAATTCTATTCTTAATTATTTGAGGAACCTCCATACTGTTTTCCATAGAGGCTGTACCAACCCGCCTCCCAACAACAGTGTATGAGGGTTCCTTTTTCTCTGCAGCCTCTCCAACACCTGTTATTTGTCTTGTTGATGATAGTTATTCTCATAGATGTGAGGTAGTATCTCATTGTGGTTTTGATTTGCATTTTCCTGATAGCTAGTGAAGTTGAGCGTTTTTCATATATCTGCTGGCCCTCAGTTTGTTTTCTTGGGAGAAGTGTTTGTTCAGGCCCTCTGCCCATTTTTTAATTGGTTTGTGTTGTTGTTGTTGTTGTTGAGTTGTATGAGTTCTTTATATATTTTGGATATTAGCCCTTTATCGGAGGTGTTGTTTGCAAATAATTTCTCCCATTCACGTGGTTGCCTCTTTGTTTTTTTCATGGTTTCTTTTGCTGGGCAGAAGCTCTTTAGTTTGATGTAGTCCCATTCATTTATTTTATGGATTTATTTTTGAGCAAATGTTCCTGACATCATATTTTCATATATTTCAGGGAACTCAAGATCATATCAACAATGGGTACATACAGTCAAGGTAATAATAACCCTTCAAAGTTTCTTCTTTCACTCTTCTCTGTATGTGAGTATGCTGTATATGCTTATGTTGTTTATTGGCAATATTTGAAACATTTATATATTTTCTCACATTTAAATTTTTTTTATTCTATGCTTATAGTTTGTTGCTATTCATAAATATTTTAAAATGGAAAGCTTTTGTCCGGAGATAAATGGCTTGTTTTAAAAAGCAAGACTTCACTGTCACTTTGTATTACATTTCAGAACATGGAATTAGGGGAAGTAGTAGGATTTGATGGGAGTTTTATTATTTCTGGTAATGTGTTTTTGTTAATATGATTTTTAAAATATAAAACTCTCTTCTACAAATTGAGATGTTATTGTCCAACATTAAAACTGTTGGTAAACAGTTGAATATATTTCATTTTTATTAAGCTTTAAATATATACCTACTACTGGTCATCTTGCCCAAGTCTGCCTTAACTGCAAAGATGAAATGACTTTTAAATGATTACACTGACCAATAAAACAGAGTAGATTGTTTATATCTTGTGTGAAATTACCATCGTAATATATAAGAGCTTAAAAACACTAAACATGAAATAATTTTTGTAGGTCTTTTTTTAACTTGTGAGTAAAGCTCTTTTTCTATTCTGTTAATAAAGCTGTGTTTTCAGGACAATCTGGCCAAAATTTTTTGGAAATGAATTTCTGTTTTTCCTTTGCAGAAAGGAGGTGCGTTATTCAACTCAGCAATGACCAAAGCAACTCCCGCTGTACGGACAGCATATAAATTTGTAAGTTTTCCTTTGATATTTAAAAATGTAAAATTTTACATTTTCCCAGCTGATAGTCATGTAAGTCTAGAAAATTTTCTATTTTTCTTTTAAGCAAGATTTTAAAAGTTTAGAGTTAATATTGACCAAAGCAAATTCAAGTATTAAAATTATACCATTCTATAGACAGGATATTTCCTTTATATACTCTAAAAATGGTTCTTTATTTTATTTCAAAACTATTAGTCAAATCATGCACTCAGTCCATGATGAAGTGCCATTTTTTAAGATTCGATTGTTTAACTTAACAACATATCTTAAATTCTCATTGTGTACTTGAGGCCCAGGTAGGAAAAAATTTAAAAATATGGTGCATTCTCGTCCCTCAGAGGTGCTTTGACTCCCGGTAATTAAAATTCTTCATTGATTCTCTGTGGCTTATAGTAGAACAACCAAAACAATACCGACAGTTATAGTAACAGCAATGCGTAAATAAATAACAAAATTAAATCTCTTTAATGTGACAACGAAGACCCTTCATGCCATGGCTCCTCCTACATCCTGTTCCATTCCCTGCGCCCCTGAGCCTCTATATTTCTGTGGACCCTGAGCTGCTTCTCGCTTCATAGATGCACGGTGTTCTCTTCTGCTTCTCTGTTCTTGCACAAGCGAGTCCTGTAATTGGAGCCCCCATTTCTTGGCCTTTATTTTCCTACTAAACACCAGTTCATCCGGTAAGACATTAGTGCCCCTGAAAAAATCTTCCCAGCCCCACAGAAGAAGCGTTCACATACCTTCCTCCGTGTTCCACAGAACCTGTACACATGCCTGTGTTTCGGCCGTTGTTGTCCCTGTGTCCATCTTTATCTCTAATTTGAGACCAGTAGCTTTCTTGAGGGAGGAGCTAGTGGGTTGGTATTCAGTAAAGCTCTTTTTAAATTCAGGAGGTCATATATATTTCTATATTCCTAAAAACATCCAGGGCAGTAGTTCTGATTTTATGAGACTCTCTTCAAATGCTTTCTTGTAAATGATGTGATTGAGTTAATAACAATAACATATTTTAATAAGTTTAGAACTTATATTTTCTTGACTTATAATTTGATATATATGTAGCTACCATTTCTGGTTTTAAAAACCTGTTTCAAAGATGACATTTTATAGTAGGGAAGCTAATCTACATAGTGGATTAAAAAATACACAGAAACGGACTCACAGATACAGAGAACAAACTGATGGTTGCCAGATGGGAGGGGGTTTGGGGGTCTGGGTGAAAAAGGTGAAGGGATTAAGGAGTACAGATTGGCAGTTACAGAACAGTCACTGGGATGTAAAGTCCAGCACAGGGAATATAGAGAGTAGTATGTAATAACTATGGTGTCAGATGGGTACTAGACTTATTGGGGTGATCACTTCGTAAGTTATATAAATGTCTAATCACTGTGTTGAATGCCTGAAACTAATATAATGTTGTATGTCAACTGTAATTGAAAAATAAATTAAAAACAAATGGAAAAACATGAAATGATTTGATATATAAAAATCAAAAACATACACTGCCCAAATCTGAGCTATGTGAAGCCTCGTCATAAAGTAAACTGAGGAGGTGAACTTTCACCTTGGACATGTCCACCCTCTGCTTCCGTGTGGTTTCTCCGCGGCTTTCCTGCTCAGGAAACGTCTTCAAGTAGATCGCTTATCCCACTGTAATGCTGGGGGTTTGATTCTTGAAGCTATTTAAATTTTTCACAAGAAAATAGCACATTGCTGCCATAAGAAAATCAAACTAATGTTGAGCCTCATTTCTCACATTCATTTCAGACTCCAAGAAAGGTTTCACAGTCAAGTGCCCTTTATTTTATTCCTTGACTGAACACTCAAAGTTTTCCTTCAGGCTTAGAGAAGTTGTATTGTATTATTTTACTAAATGTTTTTTTTTTCTCCTTAATTTCACTCAGATCTTCCATAAAAGCACAGAGATAAAGCAAACATGTTCCAAAAACCCCATTGTTTATTTAAATGTTTATCCTTTTTATCAGTAGATATTTTATTTTAAACCCTTCTCTGCAGAACAGTGAAATGTCACCAATTTAAAAGTTCTGTTTTTTGGAAGATTATCCTCTAAATTAATTTCAGGCCAATTAAGGTCTTCAGAATGTACTTAATACTTTTATCATTTATTTTGTGAGCATGTCATACATGAATCAAGAGCGTTGGGGCAAGTTGTACCTAAAACTCATCTTTGCAGATTGCTAATATTCTGAAATATGAACTCTGAAATTCCTCCTTTGAGTACAAACTTCTCTGAACAAAACTCCTAATTCTTCTTTAGATAGTAAAGAAAATTAATTTACCTTGTTTTTCTTTAGATAGTAAATTTTTCAAAACTGGGAACCATGTTTTCAAGTGTTTCATTCCTTCAACAAATTATTTGCATGCCTGTCATGAACTTGGCCTTGTACTGGTTATTGGAGTTAGAACGGTGAGCATGCCAGGCCCTGTGGGTAATAGAGCGACCGTCCCTGCTCCTGTATGTGCGTTGTCTTCACCTTGCTTTGTGCTTTGGACGCTCCACAAGCGCTGAGTATGTGTTTCTTGAAGGAAATATTGACCTATACTTAGAACATTTTTCCTGTGCTTTCTATGCTTGTGTTTTCTATGAATATAGGGACCATAAAGGAGACTAGAGTTGATATACATACTCGCTTATAAATCTAAAAATAATAGCAAAGTGAATACATACTTGATTTTGCTAAAAGATTTTCTAAGTCAACTTTCTTTGTTAAGTCTTTGCATTTGAAATAATTAGCCAAAGCCATTCGCTGGTGCTTTTCTGTAGAGAATACTTGCTTATTGGTGAGTTTCCACTTGGTGAATTGAAAAGGATTGAGAGAAGCTGAACCCCATCTTCCAGCGAGTCTGAAAGAGGCCGGTGGAGGAAGTAGAGAAACTGATGTTTAAATGAGTCAGTACGTGAATTACAGAACTATGGCTGATACTCGATTCAACGCTATACACTAAGGAGCATGGAAAATGTGCATCAGGTGGATTTTGAAAGAATAGAGGGTATTTAGGTAAACTATTGGGTTGTCGGAAAAGTCATGACGCATTTTTGCAATGAAAACCATAGAAAAATACGTCATGATTTTTCCGACAACCCAATAGACTATAGTCCAAATGTGAGTAAAGATGGATACAAATTCTAGGAGATGGGAACAGGAACATGTTTTTTTTTAAATTATTCATGTTTACCTAATGGGAATGTAAGAATTAATATAGTAGATTCAGTGGCTAATGAATGAAAATGTTTTATTGATTCTAAAGAACTGTGAAAATATAATTTAGTGTTATCTGGCTTTTTAGGTTGTCTTCTACTCTGTGTAACAAATACAGTAGAAAGGACCTCCAGGCAGCTGGACAAAATGGAAGGTTTTTCAGGCAGAAGGGGACTTGGAAGAAGAGCAGATCACTGCGTCTTTCTTTGGGGCATGGGAGGGTCTGTCGGGTAATGACCTCATTACTGCTGACCAGGAAAGTCCAGGCTGACTGGGCGAAGGTTCATTCCCGGGTTAGGTTAGGCACTAATTCCTGAGCTGGTTTAGCACAAGTCGCTCCGTTTCGGGGCCTGTTTTCTCTCTCTCTTTTCTTTTTAACAACAGGAAAGGAATCCAGTCGTTCCCCTCAGTGCATTCACTATTCCTGGGAGGGACTTGGGAAAGCAGGGTGTTTTGGTAGAAGCAGCAAGGCCTCCGGAGTGGGAAGCCTCGAGTCTGCATACCTCGTGTCCATGTCTGTGGGAGAGCACAATGCCTTTGCTTTTGTGAGGCTAAGATTCAGTGAATGTATTTTAAAAACCGCAGTTCCTCCTCCTCCCTTGCGATGGGAAGAAGTTGGATTTCGGAATTAATTAGACCAGATTGAACCTAGGCTACGCAGACTCATCCCCTCTGAGTCCCTTTCCTTATTTGTAAATGTAATAATAACAGCACCAACTTCACAGAACTGTTGGGATGATTAAATGAGATAATGCACACTTGGTGCCCAGCGACAAATACTGAGGAAACACAAAATAAGCCCAAATCTTTCTTCTTTTTCACCCTGGCCACCGTGAATAGGACTATCCAGCAGAATGCAGGCTGAGGCTCTTAGGAAAGCCTCCGGTTGTCTTTAGTGAAATTGTGCCCCACGGGAATCACAGCAGGACCTGAGAGGCTCAAATGCAGGAGCCAGATTCACGGGGAAACACGAGGACAGTCTTTACATTGTCAAATGACTTCCAGTTTTTGCCAGGAACACTATATATGAAATAGCCGCAACGTTAAGATTGCTCCGGTAATAAAAACGTGTGTCTGCCTGGAAAGCACTTGGATGAAGGTTTGTGAAGTTGCTGTGTTTCCTAAAGTCCAGACATTTGCCCGAATGACCTGCTTCTGTGATGTGCCTTGTTTCTTCCCCCAGTTAGTCACAGTTCCACGTTAAGACTGGGCCTCAGTAATCTGGTTGACGCTTGCATTTTCATATAGTTTAGGAGGCAAAATAGGCTACCAGTCTCTGTATGATACTTGTATGCAAATGGAGATAGTAATGTTTCAACAACTAACGAAGGTATGAAAGTAAGTGGTATGGTGTCCCTAAAAATACTTTTATTTAGAAATTTCTTCTATTTCTAAATAATATGAATAGTTAGCAGTTTTCATGACACGAGATCTCATGTACTTAATCTTTAAATGGTAATAGAAGTACGCTGAGCCAGACACTTGTATTATCATTTTCTAGGCAAAAAATCACGCAAAGCAGGGAATAAAGGAGGTGAAGAGTAAACTGAAACACAAGGTATGTCTCATTCCTCTTTTCATTCTACCTGGATTCTTGTATTGGTTTGAAGCTTATACTTTACAGATCACATGGGATTTACGTTTTTAATGACTTTTGAAATATGCTTAGCTCTACGTTCAAGAATGTATTTTTCATAACAAGCCCTCTGGCAACTCTGCCATTTTAGATGCATCCACTGAGTAATGTCTTTGTTGTTTGCATATTTTATCACAGAACTACGGAGAGCTTCAAAGATGCTTTAACAGGATGTATGTTTTCATAAAGTTAATTGCCTTGATATCACAATTGAAATTCTTCCTTCAAGCAGAGACTATTTTTTAAAAAAGATGATTTTTGGTGTAAAATTAAGCCACAGATGTCATTGTTCAGTTTTATAGGAGCGTTCCAATAGTAGCTCCCTTAAATTGAAGCATGTTCTTAATTTACAAAAGTTTCTGTTTGAGGATGTGTATTTGAATCTATGAATAGTGCATGTATATGAATATTTATATGTATATATATATATGTGTTTTTTATTTGAATACATGTTACACCTTGGCAGATTTTGTTGTTTTGAATTTCTACCTTTGGAGAAAAAAAAATACTACTTAAAACTTCCATTGTAGTGTTGGAAAGTAAATGATCCTCATATAAATTTTATTCAAATTATTCAAAATAGTGAAAGATTATTTTGGAAAGTATTAATTCATAACATAGAGAAATGCATTACGGTATTTTCATCACATAGAAATGCATTATTTTCCTAAGTAGGTTCTTGAAGCTTATTTTGTTATTTGCATCTGTACCAGATACTTTGTTGGTTAATCAAATAACACCAGTTATCAAAGGAGTATTTAACAATAATGACTTGTGTGTTTCCTCGTGTGTAGGAAAGTGAGGATGACTGTGGGCCATGTCCTGGCTCTGTGCAGTACACGCCCGTGTACACATCACACAGCGAGAAGGAAGGAAACCCCGAGAGGCGTCAGCTCCCCCAGGTAAGGCTGCTACCCAGTGTCTCCAAGTCTTAATGTTTTGGAATCCCAGCTCGTTAGGAGTAGTTTTGGCCCCGTTAATATTTATCATATATTAAGAAAACGTGCAGTTGTTGTCCCAGAAATGTAGGCGGTCTGTGAACAGGCCTCAGGAACTGGGGTTCAGCGTTCCAGATGTGATTCCCACGCGCTTTCAGTGACGACGTCTCACAGAGCTCTCAGTCAGGGATGGGGAGAGAAGGACACGGACACGTGCGATCACCATAGAGTGTGTGTGGGACAGTCGGTGATGACAAAAATAAAGCGCAACTCGTACGTGGAACTTGACCATTAAAATACTCTGTAGAAATTTGAGTATGAAGGAATAAAGGCCTTTCTAAAGTTAGATATTTTATTTGCTGTAAATATTTAATGCCTCTGCTTATGTGCTGATGCTATTTAAAATATTGTCCTAAATTAGGAAAGTGTTCAGAATTAGAGCTCTCTGTGTCTGATTGTTGCATCATAAGTATGTATCTGAAGGTTTTAATGAAGCAACATTTGTAGATGCCAAGTCATATTGTAAGTGGCCCAGGGAAACGCGTTTTTAACAAGAACTCTCGAGTGGACTGTAGTTACAATGTTATAGAACTGGAAGCAGCTGCACAGCTTCATTTATGACAGTCACAAAGTTCCCGGATGAGGAAGCTGGTGGCGAAATGGCCACATCATCTTCCTGTGTCTCAAGATGAGTTAGTGGCAGAGTGGACGAGCGCCCCCGTGTCTTGCTCAGTGCTGCTGGAGGGGCAGGTGCTGCGGGGGCTGCAGGGAGGTGGCCCTGCAGCGCTTCCAGGTGTGTTTGGGAAGGGGCGAGGGCGGCGAGGCTGCACGAGAACCCGGCCTGTGTAGAGAAAACCAGTCATTCAGCCGTCTAACACCCACTCTGCCGTAGGTGCTGGTCTAGGTATTCTGGGGAAACCTTCCTGAGAGTCTTAGAATACACTGGATGCTTTCTCTATGGTTGATCCATTTATTCAGCTTGCATTTCCAGATGTTATTAGTATTGTTGAATTGAAGCATATTGGCGGGGAATGCTGGCTGTCTGAACTAAAGTAAGCCTTTCCATAAAATAATGATTCCACAAGGGCAGAAACCTTTTCTGGCTACCACTGTTAACTGGAAAACAGTTATTAACTTATAGACCTTTGATGGATTTGCAATCAATTTCTCAATTTTTCTCCTATCATTAGAATGTTCAATTCCTGTCTCTCAAGCTTTAACATCTTAAAAACTTTTGCCAACAATTTACTGCCTTAGTATCGGAGCATTCCGGTTATATTTACCGTGGTGAATAGATTTTCGTGTGAAGCAAATGTGCCCTCTCACTGCTCTCTCTCCCACTGTAATAATATTAGGGTCTGAGCACATTAAGATTTTCAATTACACATGTAAGCATTTCTAGGAATAGTTAGATGTAGTTAAAGGCAGAAACTAGACTAGATATCAATAAATACGTCAAAGACTAATGTTTATTTATTTATTGTTTATATTTTACAATAAAAAATTTCCAAAAATAAATGACATCTTAGAAAACAAACATTAAAGTTCATTTAATTTAGATAAGATTTCCGGCAGAGAGAAAGTAAGCATGTAGGAAGCAGAGGCCCATTGCCTTGACCAGCAGCCTAAATGTGAGAAAAACAGCTGCCATGATGCATACACACAGATTTAAAACAGAAGGTGGTCAGAGTATTGATTCTGTTCCCCAAACTGTCTTTCGTATCCCCAGGGCAATCTTGTGGCTACTGATTTGTGCTTTCTAATCCCTTCCCCTTCTCCCTCATCCCCATCCCCCTCCCATCCAGCAACCATCGGTTTTTTCTCTATGCCTCTGAGACTATTTCTGTTTAGTTTGCTCATTTATTCAGTTCTTTAGATTCCACATATATGTGAGATCATACAATATTTGTCTTTCTCCATGTTGTAAATATTTTGTAGGGTGTCAGATGGGCACTTGTCTTATTAGAGAGACCACTTCATGGACCGTGTAGATGCCTGACCACTACACTGTACACCTGAAGCTGAAGCTGAATAATACTGAATGCCAACTATAATTTTGTGTGTGTGTGTATATATATATATGTGTTTTTTATTTGAATACAT